ACTGTTCATCACCCCTTCCAGAAAATGCACCTCGACTAACCACCATCCAACACTGTTCATCAGATAACGGTTCCAAATGAATGACATGAGAGTCCTCCATCATGTTTGCCACTGTATCCTTACGAGTAGTTAACAAAATCCTACTCCCTGGGGCACCATGTTTGAAAGTCTGGATCAGTCCTTCCCAGTGTCGCATGTCATCTCCCCACACATCATCCAACACAAGAAAAAATTTCTTTCCGTGGATAGATCTACAAATTCTATCAAGAAGGGCAGAAAGTGGAAATGAATCAAGGGAGTCCGCTCCTTCAAATCTTTTAACATGCTCAACTCCTTTAATTATTGTTTTGGCAACATCATTCTCGTCAAATACATTTGAGACACGAACCCATATTCTATGATCAAAATGCTGCTTAACCACCTCATCCCGGTAAACAAGTTGAGCTATAGCTGTCTTTCCCACCCCACCCATGCCAACAACAGAAATTGTCTTAAGTCGTTCAGTGGACGCAGACAACAAACTGCTTACAATGTCTCCCTTAACCTCATCTCGACCAATTATAGCTGACAAATCAACAAGAGCTGTACCCCCAATCCGTCTGCTGTGTTGAAACAAAGAACCTGATATTAATAAAAACTCCTCTCTATCATTGGTAATCTGAACTAGACTGTCACGGAATTCCTTTAATTTGAAAGCAAGATCATCATGCCTAACAACTTGGGCAGTATGTAAACAGTGGGGGACGGAGGAGCCTACCCAAGCCTTCCGAATAGAAGTTTTTCCAACCCCGTGTGTAGTGATCCACTCGTCCAACATATCCACCAAGTCATAGGCTGCATCTGTAAGCCCATCTAACCAAGGATCACTGATTCTGCCAATCCTTGTCGCTTGTGCTGCATCCTCAAGGATAGCATTTAAGGCCACAAGGTTTCCCCTAAGACTTTGGGGTTCATTTTCTAAATCTCCCCTCAGCCTCACCCCTCCCAATGGTGCTGCAGTTACAACTCTTTCTATTAACTCCAAGATTGAGGAGACAAGTGTAAGTGACATTTTCGGAGCTATGGATAAAAGAATGTATATGTATCAGCAAAATCAGCAAAATATATAACGGAAGAATAAGATCATAAGAGATTTTGTGCAGATTGATAAGTGGCTATATAATATAATGATGGCAAAAAAAAAAAAAGGTGGCTATATATACATCATATTCAGAAATTTTGATATTATTTTTCATCGCAAATCTGCAAATCTGCAAATCTGCAAATCTGGAAGTGAAGATGATTATACCCAAGAAACTTACCGATCAGATGCAAGTCAGGGCAAAGAAACAACTTAACGGATCGAGAAATCTGAGACAGATCTGTAGTTGGAGATACAGTTTAACTCGAACTGGCGTTCTAGTCTTCCTCAGGATCTAAAGAGTTTATACGGAGGACCAAATGTTTGGGGAGAATTTCGGGAGAGAAGTAGAAAATGAAATTGGAATGAAATAAGATGTCAAACGAAATTGCTGGTATCGCCGCGTGTGTGAAATTTTGCTAAAATTTAAGTCCCTCTACTTTTTTACAAAACGAAATAAGTCCTATTAATTTCCTTAGTATTCAATATGGTCCCTATGTAGAAAGAAATCTACTAGCATCTTTTATCCTAAAGACACCACTAACCTGGCTGCATCTTCATTTTTTTTTTTTTACCACATAAGCGGCTGCATTTTTCCACGGTTTTTCATCGCAATGTTTAGGAAAATT